ATCAAAATTAGCACAGAAACAGTACTATTTAACATTTTAGACACATTCTAGACAGTTTATCAGCTAAAAAAAGTTAATTTTGGGGTAAGTTACTCTTTAAGGCTGAGTCACACTACAATATTTTAAAACAGTTGGCCAATTTTCAAAGACTGATAGAGCCCACACGTGAGGATAAAAAATCATGGATATAACAGGTTTTGTCCTACAGTGTGTGGTGTACAGTTACACGGCAAGAGACAACCCACTACACACGAAAAGATATTCCATTCATGAACATTCAGGTGCCAAATATTAAATCACGTGAGACTTATTGAAATCTCGTGAGAATTCAGATGTCAGTGGAAAAATCTCACATGACCTCCAGAGAGACGTGAGTTCAGAGTAAATAAACATTTGCGACAAGGAAGAAACAATGTTGATCGTTTGTGGACTATTTTTACCAGAGGAAAAACAATTCCAGGACTTTTAACATCCAGCAGACTTTCTGGTGAGTTATGACAGTATTTTGTCTTTTGTATTTTGGAATCCCCTCCGTATTTACGTCACCTTGCTTTCTGACTGGCTACACATTTCATTTAACAGGCTGAGATGTTGGTTGAACACTACACACACTGTGATATCGGGCCAAAAAAATCAAATGTTGAACATCCCAGATTTGAGGTCGGAGCGGTCCCGACGTCCTTCTGAGCCGACTAGATCTCTTAACTCACCACCCATGGCGGGAATATCTGCTATGCTTATCTTTAGAGCCATCACGATAATCTGGACTTCTTTAAGATTGTCGGAAGGGCAAAAATCRGCATGATTTTCTTGTAGTGTGACGCCGGCCTTAGTTTAGCATACGGTAGAGGAGGAAGYGAATGAAGCCAGTCCGTGTTGATAAGGCTTCCAAATTAAAATAAATTTGTCTGRCAAAGCCTGCAGCTCTCATTTACAGCCATCTTGTTTGGCTCGGTACTTCTCTCYTCTCAGTAGGGTTGTTTACAGCGCACGCAATTTCCGGTTAGCTTCTTAGCTTAGTCTCCTTCACAGCGGCATACATTGCGGCCAACCGATCCAATCATTCTAAACTTCAACAGAGGCCACGCCTCCAGCAAGAATCACTTCTCTATAGCCGAGAGTCCAGACCCTYGTACAAAGAAAAGTGAAGGACAAAGGTTTGGTTTTTATCAGGCTACGGATACTCTGATTTCCTCCTACAGACTTTTGTCCAGGGTGTACCCTGTCCCTCACACAGTGACTGCTGGACATGGACACCAGTGACCCCCTGTGACCCTCAAAGGAAGCAGTGGGGCAGACCCAGAACTCCCTCATTCTTTCTGGCCTAGGAATGCCACAAAAAAGTGTGCAGCCTAGAATATAGTTTAACAAGGCATGCACAAAAATCTGTAGTGATTTTCTAAATCTGGTTCAGCAAAACACAGCTAAACAGTCTACTGGTGGCTTGGTCCCAAACACAAAAGTCAGTGACAGCAACAGAAAAATTATCAGTTATAAACAAGCTTAAACCATTTAGTTATAGATTGAATAATATACACAGGGTGGCATACAAAATTAGATTGTGAGATTGTGAATTTTACAGCTGGATGGTTGTTTGGTTGCAAACACTCAAAATTGACTGCAATGGATAATTTACACATTTTCCCACAGTTGTCTGGCCATTTTGATACATTACCAACAGTCACAGCCCAATGAAACGCTGTTTTAACAGGCAACGTGAGTTTCTATTATTGATGTTATTAATAAACACATTTTTTATTTTCCATATAAAACCTCAATGTTCTTATTAAAATGCTTTAAAATCTTAGGCATGAGTAGTGGGCGGCTATGGTGTAGTGGTAGGGCAGCCGGCTTTGGGACCCGCAAGTCACAGGTTTGACTCCCCACTATGCCCACATGCCGTTGTGTCCTTGAGCAAGACACTTCACCCGCCTTGCCTACTGATGGTGGTCAGAGGGTCGGGTGGTGCCTGTGTATGGCAGCCTCGCCTCTGTCAGTGTGCCCCAGGGCAGCTGTGGCTACAATTGTACTTTGCCATCATCAGTGTGTGAATGTGAGTGTGAATGGGTGAATGTCTGTTAGTGTAAAGTGCTTTGATTGTCCTGGATGGATCGAAAGGCGCTGTATAAGTATAGTCCAGTTACCATTTACCACAAGAATGAAAAACTGTCAAGTTAAGAGATGGGATTGAACTAGACTACAGTTTTTTGATTTCTTAATAAAAAATAAACTCAAATATAAAGTCCCACAACACTGTTTATACAATTTTGTGTTTTATAACAATTTGCAGAGCTCTGAGTTATTACCCAAAGAGGAGTGAACAGAAAGGCATTTGAAAAAAAAATGTTTTTCAAATAAAATGTCATGGAAACTCAAAAGCACTGCCAGCAATTTTTAGCCTTTTTTCACAGAACATGAAGGGCTTAGCTATAATTAATTCATTGTTAGTAGTTGGTATCAGTCTAGAGATTCTTGAAAAACATGAGATTCTCACTTTCATCCCATGTATATTCAATACCATCTACACATATGCTAATAAAGTCCAAACAATTCAAGTGGAGGAAGGCAGACAGGAAAAACTGATGACTAATTATGCATTTGGGAATTGATAATGAGGGAGTAGTAGGGGAATTTCAATTATATTTGTTGTCACACTTACCCATTGTCTAACAAACTTCCATTTGGTAGAGGATGGTTATCAAAACAAAGAGAATGACACAGCACATGCAAAATAAACTTGAAAAATTAAGGAAAGACATGCTCATTCATCTATTAATCAAATACAAAATACATCCACTGTAAAATCTACTAAACATGAACATGCGAGTTTTAAAAATATTGTTCTTTTGCTSCATAGGATAGCTGAATGATAACCAGAAAATGACCTTGTCCTATTGAAAGAAAGTACGATTTTCCTACCTCCTGCCCCAGGTCCATTGCACACAGTTTAGCTGATTGAGCCTTGGCATCCACCATGACGTTGAACATGGTACAGATGGACTGTGGCACACGGAAATCTATGGCCCGACTGCTCCTCTGAAGCTTTGTTTCAAATGCTTCCCTTGTCCTGGAGATGAAAAAAAAACAGCACAAATCTTGAAACCCAATGTCATAAAAAAACTTTTGATATTCATTTGTGCCCTGAATAAAATTTTGTTCAATTTTATTTTAGAACTTTATTCCTAAAGCTTTGCACCCTTTGAAAGGTAGCACATTTTGATGAAGATTTAAAATAGTTGGTCTTATTTTCGCTAAAGAAAATGTTAAATTTAATCAGGATTTTAGAAATATCCGACAGCTGTTATGGCCCTCAGTTGAAAATGCTCAAACCTAATAAATAAATAAATAAATAAATAAATAAATAAATAAATAAATAAATGTACAGCTAATGATTTGTTTCAAAAAACAAAACTAACTGGACGCACTCAGGGAGAGTACCTACCTCTGTCAAGGCTCTAGGTTTTGCAAATGAGAGTGTGCAGGTGCTCAGCTGTGATTGGTGGAACAAAGTTCTGCTGGATGCTRTAGGATTTTTCTCCAGTGAAATTGTCATTTCTGATCATATTTTTAACTGTCTCCCCGACAACGGCTCAGAGAGAAAGGAAACCCCCACTTTTGACCTCAAAGACTTAGGATTTTGTATAGAATTTCATTTGTGGCCGAATTAACATTCCTTACACCTTCCCCCACTAGACTTTGCAACGACGCCCCAGCAGCCAACTGATAAAATTGTCACCTCCTTGTTAGAATTACTTCCTGTTCTGAACCCCACAACTTCTGTTGTGACCTTATAAGGACTGTCTGTTTGCTTATCTTCAAAAGGACCACAAATTCCTTTGTTTAACCACAAACTCTTTTCAGCTTGAGTGAGATCGAAAGGACGAGATTCTCCATTAAATGTGAAAAAGAAGGAAAAGATAAATGAATGTTTTTTGTGTATTTAATTATGTTTCCATGTGTCTTAATCAAAGAAATGTGATTTTAGTCTGTCCTTTTACAGAAAGAAAAGGCCTGCCTGAAGATCCACTAAGTCTTGCTTAATTAACTGTTCAGCAGAATAGCTGTGTGAAGAAGATGTTTCTTATATTTCATGATTTAAGAAGTGTATTTTGTTGATCTATACATGTTTAATCTTTAGAAAATTTAGGATTTGACTTTAATAATTAAATGTGTCACAATCTTATCTCTCTAAAGCAACCAGATGTCTTCCCCTCTTTAATTAGATGCAAAATAATCAAACTAAAACACTCCTTCTTCTTTGTCTGAGGTAGAAACTTTCCCTCTAAAACATTTTATTTGTTGAACCCTTTTTAAGTGATACTTTTAGTGATACTCTGTAATGTTTCATTGGATGATTCAAAACCTTAACTCCRCCCCAAACAGAGGTCTTAAAAGTGAGAGTACTCCCAAATTAGAGAGAGTTGAAGTCAGTTAAAGTTGATGTCAGTTTTCAGAAGCTCAGCAGAGGCCCTGCCTGCAGCCCTTCCCCCATGGGCTGGGCAAGACTGTGGTCCTTCTGCATCTGCCTGGTGCAGTCCGGGCTGGGCCTTGGCTGCTCTTCTACACCCCAGAGTGAAAGAGTTTGCATCCTGGATTCGGATATGACCTGCCCTCTGTAGGCGGCGGGTACGTGCCCTGGACCTGGGGGTATAGAGTGTGTATCGGGAGTGTGAGTGGGATGTTGCGTTGATCTTGTCTGTCTTTGAATGAGTGGGTGTGAGAATGAGGGTGGGTTCTGTGTGATTGTGTCTGTGTATGGCTGGGTATTTGTCAGGCTGGGACTCGGGCTGCACTCTCATTTGGTTCACCTGAGGGCCCACTGCTAATGGTGGGCTTTGCCCCCCAGCCGCACTGCCCTCTGGTGGGGTGTGCCTCTGCCCGCCGGTGCGCTGGTGGCTCTCAGTGTCTGGGGCTGGGTGCTTGGGCATGTGCCGGCTCGGCCTGGTGACTGCCTGGTGGGGCTTGGGTCCTCTGGCCCTGTTGGGCCTTGGCCTGAGGGGGAGGGGGGGGTGCTCTGTGTCCATGCCTTATTCTGCTCTGGCATGACGGGGGCCGGCAGGGCCTGTGGGGTCGTCGCTGTTGGCCCTGTGGGTTCTGCGGGTGGTTGCTGGTGGGGCTCTCCTCGTTCTGTGTACCWCTCTGGGGGTGGGTGGGTAGTTCTTGCTGCGCAGGTAACTTGGGGGCTCGGTGCTTGGGGTCTCTCTCGGGGTCTGTGGCTCTGGTCCCCCTTGTGTCTGCCTTGGGTCTTGGGGGTC